ATACAGAAAGAGAGAGAGAGACAGATACAGAAAGAGAAAGGGGCAGAGACAGAAAGAGAAAGGGACAGAGACAGAAAGAGAGAGAGAGAGACAGAGACAAAAAAAGAAAAAGAGAGAAGAAAAGAAAAAATAGAGACAGGCACAGAAGCAGAAAGAGAAAGGGACAGAGACAGAAAGACAGAAAAAAAAGAAAGAGAGAGACAGAGGCAGAGTAAAAGAAACAGAAATAGAAAAAAGAAGAAAAAAGAGAGAAAGGCAGAGAGAGAGAGAGAGAGAGAGAGAGAGAGAGAGAGAGAGAGAGAGAGAGAGAGAGAGAGAGAGAGAGAGAGAGAGAGAGAGAGAGAGAGAGAGAGAGAGTGTGAGCGAGCGAGAGATACACAGTCAACAGATATAAAGTGTAAAATATGCAAAGTGCATGAGTAAGTTTCAAGTAAGGGACAACTAATACTTATAGAAAAGCTCCTGAGAACTAAATTCTCGTTTCCCCCTCAGGTTGTTGCGGCTGCTGCTCGGCCTTCCGCCCGCGCTACAAGCGGCTGGTGGACAACATCTTCCCGGCCAACCCCGAGGTGAGAACGGCGGCCACCCTTCCTGGCCTTGTTGTCGCCCTGTTCCCCTTGCCTCCCCCCCCCCGTCTCCCTGCCTCCCTCCCTCCCTCCCGTCTGCCTGCCTCCCTCCCGTCTGCCTGCCTCCCTCCCGTCTGCCTGCCTCCCTGCCTCCCTACCAAGCGCCGTGTCCCCCTTCCGTCACTCCAGCTCCTGGGTGTCACCGTCCGACTCTTCCACGTTTCTCGCAGTCACCCCTTCTTATGGGACGCCCAGGTGGCTATTTATCGCTCACGCGTGTTACCCTACTTCCCATTTTTTAAAAATATTTATTACCATGCCTGCCACCCTTGCAAAGCATGCGTCCTGAGCCACTGTGCCACCCTTCCACCTCCTTTGCGTTACATTAACTCCTTTCCATCTCTGTGTCGCGGAGTTTCAGAATGTTTGTCAAGCTTTCCCTTCCAAGCCTTCTGTGCCACACCCTTCCAGCATCTAATTCGTTAACTGAAACTTTCCTTTTGTTTTGTTTTTTATGTTAAGATGTATGTATTTCTGCCAGATTTCGTGTTGAAGATATCTCCCTCATTTTATTCTTGCATGAATAGAAATATTGACCCATTTTGTTATGTATATTGTTAACTGAGAAACACTGATATGGATTTCCATGATTCCCACACAGAAATCTATTAAACATCACTCTTTTTGACAAAGTAGCAATCGATGAGATGCATGCAACAAACAAACGAACAAAAAAACATAACACCGACACACTAAATTGCGTTCAAAACCAGAGTTCCCTTAAATACAGCTGTATCCCCAGTCCCTCTGTCACATTCGGATAGCATGTGGACAGAAGAGCCAAAAATTTCCCTCTTGTCTGCAGGATGGCCTCGTTAAGTCGAACATGGACAAGCTGATGTGGTACGCCATGACCTCCCCGGACAAGCTGGACCGCATCGGGGACTACCTCGCACATCGCCTCTACAGGGACATCAACAGGAGGAAAACAGGTGGGAGGGGGAGGGAGGGGGATGGGGGGAGAGGGAGAAGAGAGGGAGAAAGGAAGGAAAAGGGGAGGGGGGGTGGGGGAGAGAGGGAGAAAAGAAGGAAAAAGGAAGGGAGGGATGGGGTATGAGGGAGAGAAAGGGAGAAAGGAACGAAAAGGGAAGGAAAAAGGGAGGGAGAAAGGAAGGGAGGGAGGAAAGTAGGTAGGCAGTGAAGGAAGGAAACATGAGGGACAGCAAAAGAGAAAGGAAAGGAAGAAAGAGAAGGGGAGGGAGCAAGTGAGGGAGGGAGGGAGGCTGGTAGGCAGGGAGGGAGAGGAAGAGGAAGAGGGAGGGAGAGAGGGAGAAAGGAAGAGAAGGAGATAGGGATTGAGAAAGAAAGAGGAAGAAAGATGTAGAGTGAGAGCAAGAGAGCGAGTGAGCGAGGGAGAAGGAGAGAGAGGGAAAAGGAGAAGGAGAAGAAGGAGAGAGAGAGGGAGAGGGAGAAGGAGAGAGAAGGAAGGGAGAGGGAGAGGGAGAAGAAGGAGAGAGAGGGAGAGGGAGAAGGAGAGAGAGGGAAGGGAGAGGGAGAAGGAGAGAGAGAGGGAGAGGGAGAGGGAGAAGAAGGAGAGAGAGGGAGAGGGAGAAGGAGAAGAAGGAGAGAGAGAGGGAAAGGGAGAAGGAGAGAGAAGGAAAGGGAGAGGGAGAAGGAGAGAGAGGGAAAGGGAGAGGGAGAAGGAGAGAAAGGGAGAAGGAGAGAGAGGGAGAGGGAGAAGGAGAGAAAGAGAGGGGGAGAAGGAGAGAGAAGGAGAAGGAGAAGGAGAAGGAGAGAGAGGGAAAGGGAGAAGGAGAGAAAGAGAGAGGGAGAGAGAGGGAGAGGGAGAAAGAGAGAAAGAGAGAGGGAGAAGGAGAGAGAGGGAGAAGGAGAAGGAGAAGGAGAGGGAGAGGGAGGGAAAGGGAGAAGGAGAGAAAGAGAGAGGGAGAGAGAGGGAGAGGGAGAAGGAGAGAGAGGGAAAGGGAGAAGGAGAGAAAGAGAGAGGGAGAAGGAGAGAGAGGGAAAGGGAGAAGGAGAGAAAGATAGAGGGAGAAGAGGAAAGAGAGGGAGAAGGAGAAGGAGAGAGAGGGAAAGGGAGAAGGAGAGAGAGGGAGAAGGAGAGAAAGAGAGAGGGAGAGAGGAGCGAGAGGGAAAGGGAGAGGGAGAGGGAGGAGAGAGAGGGAGAGGGAGAAGAAGGAGAAGGAGAGAGAGGGAGAGAGAGAAGGAGAAGGAGAAGGAGAGAGAGGGAGAGGGAGAAAGATAGAGAGGGAGAGGGAGAAGAAGAAGGAAAGAGAGGGAGAGGGAGAAGGAGAGAGAGGGAAAGGGAGAAGGAGAGAGAGGGAAAGGGAGAAGGAGAGAGAGGGAGAGAGAGAAGGAGAAGGAGAAGGAGAGAGAGGGAGAGGGAGAAAGATAGAGAGGGAGAGGGAGAAGAAGAAGGAAAGAGAGGGAGAGGGAGAAGGAGAGAGAGGGAAAGGGAGAAGGAGAGAGAGGAAGAGAGGGAGAGGGAGAAGGAGAGAGAGGGAGAAGGAGAGAGAGGGAGAGGGAGAAGGAGAAGGAGGAGAAGAAGGAAAAAGAGGGAGAAGGAGAGGGAGAAGAAAGAGAGAGAGAGAGGGAGAGGGAAAAGAAAGAGAGAGAGGGAGAGGGAGAGGGAAAAGGAGTGAGACAAAGAGAAAAACAAAGTGATAGAGTGAGAGAGATGATGGAGAGAAACAGAAAGATGATAATGCAGTCTTAGGATGAATAAGATGATTTGATGGATAAACATTAGATGTTTGTGAAAGGTGATGAACATGTTGATGAAAGATCCATTAATGGCACTTGCATTTAACAGATACTGAATAATGATTTGTTAATTCAATGAATTAATCTGGAATGTTCAAACTCTCGTGCAGCAATTACAGTAAACCCTTCATCAGAACCTCTCTTTTTGTACATGTGGGTGCGTGTATGTGTAGGCCTACGTGTATGAGTGTGTGTGTGCATGTGCCCAGTGCATATGTGCTCGAGTGCATATGCGTGTGTATGTATGTATGTTTTATTTCACATCAGTGAGACTTCCCCTAGAAAAGACACGAAGTGATTTCCAAAATGCAATGCTCCCCTTGCTTCTAACTCTCCCCCTCCTTTGCAGGCTATGTCATAATCTCCATGGATGCCCTTGACCAGTTGCTTGTGTCGTGCCACGCCAACAACCTCAACCTCTTCGTCGAGTCCTTCTTGCAGATGGTGCAGAAGTTGCTGGAGTCAACTGAGCCCAAGCTTCAGCTGCGGGCAACCCAGTCGGTGCGTTTAAGGGGACATGTTGAGCGCAGTCTTCATTTTGGATGTTTGCTTGATTTCTCTATTTTCTTTGTACAGTTAGTGTGGGATTACTTTTAGTGCCCATAGTATTGTAACTCCTAATATAATTGCTAAACCTTATCATTTTATTATTATTATTATTGATTTTAAATTATTTGGAATTTGTCTCCAAACTGACCCCTAATCTTTTGCAGTTTGAGAAGTTTGCCAATATCCGTGAAGACACACCTTCCTACCATCGCCGTTATGACTTCCTGGTGAGCAAGTTCTCGTCGATGTGCTATGCCAGTGAGGACGAGGAGGTCATGCGGAAGCAGCTGCGCACGGCTGGCATCAAGGGCTTGCAGGTGGGCCATCCTCTCTGGGGCACCTTGTGTGGCGTTGGAAAACCTTGACATGATAAAAGCGTTTATTGTTGTTTATCGTCCACAGCCCCCATTCATGTCACAGTGAACTCTTATAGTTAAGTATTTCATCACCCTGTCTTTCCCGCACTCAGGGCGTTGTGCGCAAGACTGACTGGGACAATCTCGGCGAGAACATCTGGCTTCCAACGCACATGGAGAAGATCGTTCCGTCACTCCTGTACAACATGCAGGGGAACAAGGCATATGTGCATGTGAGTCTCCGTCCCCCAATCCATGAGGGAAATTGCTATTCATTTTGTAATGAATGTTTAGGTTGCTGTGTTACAAGTTTGCTGTTGTAACATCTATGTAAGTCTTTTTCCTTAGGTCCACAATCAGTGTTGTTGAAGAATTATTTACTTAGTTTGTTTTTGTTTTTTTTATCCACAATCTTTAGAAAGAGAATTTTATTTTGAAATAGTATTGTGAAGAAGAAAGCAGAAAAATAAGGTTTATTTAGTTTTGATAAATAAACCCCTTGGTGCCAGGTGACCACTATGCATGTCACGGTGATTACACAGAACTTGCCTAGCAGAAAGATAGTATTTTCTTAATGCAACTTGGAAATGATGACTGTGATGTGTACTAAGCCTTAAGCAGCAGGTCGCATAATATGACCTCCTTAGGGGAGAAAGGATGAGGTAATGTTGTGTCCAAGGCTTGCTAGCTGGAACTCTGCCCATTTGAGAGGCCACCTCACAACACTTTGCCTGCATTTTAGGAGTTAAAGGGTATTAAGTGGAAAAAATAAGAATTACCAGCAACACAGTCACAGAGAGTGCAGGAGCAGGCAGAGGAGGAGGGACACCTACCAAGCCAGCCCCTTCAACAAAGCCATAAATGCTCTTCCATCTCTTGCAGGGTATGACGCAGATCAGTGACACCCAAGACAACCACCAGAACGAGGGCGAGAAGGAGCCGCACGAACTGGCGGAAATGTGCCTGAGGGAGCTGGTCTCTCGGGCGACTTACGGCAAGATACACAACGTCATCAAGCCTCTGCTGATGTGAGCAACAGGGTTTTGGTTTCTGTTAGCATTTTTTTTTTTTTTTTTGGGGGGGGTGGTTGTGTGTGTATGTATGTATGTATCATGTATCACAATTACTGTAGTCTCTGTGCTCAGTTTTGTAAATTTTCAGCTTGAAAGAGGGGCACCATGTTTCCATTATTATCATTATTTGTACATTACTTAATGGAAAGACAACTTCGAGTGAAATCCAGAGTAACTTCAGTAGTAAAAGTATGCAAATGTTTCATCCCGTTTGCCATGTTACTGAGATGGAGCTTGTCCTCTATGCTCTCTCTTCCTTGCCTTTAGTTCTTACTTATTTGTTGAAGACATTTTTCCCTGCATAGTTTATTTCTCTTTTGTAATTCATTGTTTCTTTAATGAATTGTTTTTTGCTCTTGTGATTTGTTTATTTATTTATGTGTTATAATTTATGATGGATTAATTTCTTTTATACTTCTTTCTTTATTTATCTTGTTTAAGTCAGATATTTTTCTCATGAAGTTTTATTCATTTCTCTTCTGTGACTTTTTTTTTCTCTCTTTAATGATTTCTTTATATATTTCTGTTTCATCATTTAGTAGTTTCTCAATTATATTTTTCTTCCCTCAGCCATTTAGACTACGAGGGACTCTGGGTCAACAACAGCTTTGCGGTGCAGGTCTTCAAGATTGTCATGTACTCCATACAGGTACTTACAGTTTACATAATTACAGCCAAAAGATAATTGAATAAATATAGTAATAAAGCAATTGTACTAAAAAAAAAAAAGATTGATAACAAAAATACAAAAAAACAGTAAGATTGTTTGTAAAGACAAGTCTATGACATTGTCTCCTTTAATCTTTGGTGCACGGGAATATCCTCTTCATGCTTGGTGGAAACGCTGAGTTCACCTTACCGTGTTTAAAGGGCACCCAGCACTCGTGGGTGAAGCATGCCGATATCTGTTGTCAGGCACTGTGCTGGAGTTCTTAATTCGAGTATTTGCCGAGAGAGTGTGGCGGTCTCTTTCTGACCCTGTGTGAAAGGAGTCGAAGTATGTATACGGTATTTGCTTATTTTTGTGTGTTTACAGAAACTTAAGTTTTGGTGGATTTGCAACTCTGTGGCCTTTATTTATATAATTATTTTGTAAACTTGTTTCCTCTATGTGCTGTGTTTGCATACACTTATGAAGTCACAATTACATCATGTGTTGACCTGAAATGTATAGTTCATTGCTCTAAGAAATCCCTTGATATAATCCCATTTTTGTCATTAACTTCGTCGTGTTGGGTCTTCCTGTAGGCTTCTATATCATGGTAATTATATGCCTTCTTGTAAGGTGCTGCTTCTTTAATTAGGAATTTGCATGGGAGGAGTTAGTAATCTGCATATTTGCCGGTAGGAGATGTGCATACATAGAAAATGCATTGTGGGTTTAACTTAAGGGACCGTCATGGGTAAATCGGGCAGGATGTAAGAAAATGGTCCTAGAGATTTGATTTTTTTATTGAGAACAATCCTTATGGCCAGCTGCTATGTACCCGCGTTTCACGTTGATAACTGTTGAATAAAAGGGGGAAAAATTAAAATGTTTAGTAATACATGGTACAATTCTATCTCGAAAGGCTCACTTAATATGAATATTATACTAACTTAATTATTCTGAGGTGTAGGCCAAGTAAATTATCTATAAAACCTCTGGAGTAAAATATAAAATATCGTATTTTAATAACCGATGAAAATTCCGTAAAAAATGTGTTTACAAAAATGCAAAATTTTCATCATGAAAAAATCATTATAAATCTGACAATGCAAAATTTAAGATTTTTTTCTCTTGCAAAAAAATAGTCAATACAAAGACAAAGAAAACAAGACCAAAATGAAGAAAATCGAACAATAAATAACTGAAGAGTTCATCAAAATGTGGCGATTACTTACGTTTAGAGATATGGCCTCTCAAAGTTGACAGACGAGATAGCGGGAGGGGGAGGGGCGGGGTCGGAAGCTAGAACCCTCCAGCTGCATATGAAAGCTCCTCTTGGAGTTTCCTGTTCCTCATCTTGATTTGGGGGGCGACGTTCATCCTTTTATCTTGCTGTTGCAGTAATCTCTGCCGTATTGCCGTCTGCTGAACACCCAGGATGGTATCGAGGCAGCTAGCCTCGTAGCCAGCGTTATAGTTAGCAGTAGCTACAGCACACGCAAAATCTAGCATTGGTTTGTTCCCATTCTTGTGTTTTGGGCTAATCCTCCATATTCTAGCATGTAATGATTCGTTAGGATTTTGCGTTCTTCCAGCCAAGCATTTCATCATGATATCGTCTGATGTAAGACGATCATACACATCTTTTACGAGTGAGAGTTCCGGTGGTGACAACTGAAAATGTACTTTCATGGCTTTGTGACTACTTGGCACCTCTTCATCTGCTATGGCTTTATTGTAAAAGCACCATGAATTCTTGCTTTTTGGGCAGAGGTGATGTGTTGGGTTTTCATCTGTAGAGGAACAGTGATAAAACGAGGATAGGATGTCGTCCCTCATGGCCACGGGAGAGGTATCCTTCTGACGTCGGACTGCTATTCCGAAGTACCTCGTCAGGTGGTCGATGGCGTTGTCTGTCAGTCTATTTCTACCACCAAGACTTCTTTTCTTTTTCCCCTCTGCTGTGACTTCTGTGGAAACATGCTTCAATTTCCGCAACGAAGTACCAAGGCGCTTAGCAACATGGTTCACGCATTCTTCTTTTTGAATGGGGTGATCTTTACCATACGGTCCTGTCCCATCGTTCATATTTCTTACTGCATTGAATGCATTACTATCTCCATCCGAGATAAATGTTGTGTATCTCAGGTAGTGATCAAGGGAATGTCCCCATATCATGACAGCAGCGGCTCCTTCCATAGCACCTGATGACCCCACATGATTTACGTGGCAGCTATCAGCGTTTTCCTCATGCCACTTCGCAAAGTCATCGTCCTTTAGGCTTTTTCTTTTTTTTTCACACAGCTCACAAAGTGTGCTCATTGTCTGATAGTCGACTATAAGGCCAGTATTTGCGTCTATTACCACACCAGCGCCTAACTTGGATTTATGTCCCCGTTTATGCCATGAGCCATCATAACTTACATCGATGTTCAAGTAACCTTCGTCTGGGTGTCTATCGAGCTCCTTCTCATAAAATTTTGTAATACTGTTTCTATTTTCCACTAAAATGTTATTAGTGTGTTCAACTGCCTTCTTCGTCACATATTTCCTGTAACGCGTAAAGATTGCGTCAGTGAAGTGCGGGAGGCTGAGATAAGCACACATTCTCTCAGTGCCTCGATACCACCATCCTAACAACATCATAACATACACAATCATGACTGTTTTTTGGCATATGGCTGGACTTTCAGTGGAACAATTATCCTTTGTATTCAGAGCAATAAAATTGCAGTCGTCACATGCAATTCTAACCTCAGTATCCGCCTAATGTTGCGTGCAGATACACTTCATTGTATATGTATAGCAATGGCTGCAGATCATATTGGATGCTAATTCTTTCAGCCTATGCTTTTCAATGAGAATGTTTGTGATGTCCTTTACTTCTTTTTCTTCGTGACTCACGAAGTTTTTACGCTTTTCGGCGGAGGTGGACGGACGTGGTTGGGATGGGGTGGGGGACTGGGAAGGGAGAGGACCTCGCTCGGCGGTAGCTGGTACATCCCTCTCTTCTGTTATCTTTTCACTAATTTCTATGTTCTTTTCTTTCTCCCTTTTCTCTCGAATGGCCTTCCTTGCTACTTCAGCACATTTCTGAAGTCGTTCTATATTTCTCTTGCGTTTAGGCATGATGGTAAAGAGTTTAGAGTAAGAGACAGAGACATACGTTCATTCATCCCTTAGGCTTATGCCGTACTGTTGGCTGCTCACAGAGAGACCTCACTCAGCCAGTACTCTCCTCGCAAAGGTGCCAGAGAGGTTTATTCTCCAGATTATTGAAACGAATTATTGCAAATTCTTTATTTATAACGATTCTAATGTGACATATGCGAGGATGTTCGATCGTGCGATATGTGAAGAGGCCCCACTCTTATGAAATAGACATTTAAACCTTGTTCTAGTGTAGATAATAGATTCATACTTTCAGAGAATGTTGCCAAAGTATGGAAGAATTTTTTGGGAATTTTTTCAAAAATTTTAATTTTTTTCATTTTTTTTCATAAAATCACCCATGACGGTCCCTTAAATATGTTGTAAGTAATACTCCAAAACAAATTATAAATGAAATAGGAACTATATAAAAGATTCATATACATAACACTCTACAAGATCTACAAGTATCATGACAGCAACCTAGGGTTTTAGATGCTTGTATTTCTTCCTGTCGTCTTAATCTAAACTAAAACAGAGAGAAACGTTTAGACAGTTGAGAAGGAAACTGTTACTGTAAGTATGCAATTTAAACTCCCCGGCACTTTAGATCACATTTAAATGTATTATCACAGACATTATCAAAAGCCTAACATTACACCTAAAATTCCAAAAACACTAAACCTTTTTGAGAAACTAGCACAGTCATTGTTCCATCTATCACCCCATAGGCTCAGTACAGCATCACAGTGATAGAGCTCCTCATGGCACACCTCAATGAGAAGAGCAGCGAGCCAGCGCAGATAAGGACAGGCATCGCAGACGTGCTCTCCAAGGTGATTCCGATCGCTGCCGGAGAATGCATAGGTAAGCGGC